TGTGGCTTTAATGTGGCTAATAAACTTTACAGCAAGGCGCACGACAGATGCTTAAAGTACGTGCAGCACGATTAAGATTTTTTTTTTGTTAGTTCCTTAACTGCCCCATCCAGAAATGCACAGCAACTGCTAATAGCAAGAAACAATTCCGTGGAACCCAAACCCAAACCCAAACCTAAACCCAAACCGCAAAGTCGTATTATATTGGGGTTTCTTCACAAAGAAAATGTTCAAATTATAGTGGGAAGTGTAGGGAAAAGCGCGGGTGCACATAATTTCTAGAACGTGCATGTTATGTGAAGGCAGGACAATCAACATAACCCATACGCACCACGCTAGAAAGCTATAAAAAAAGAATTTACAATAAAAATAACAGCCAAGGAAACCAAAGCAGGACAAAGTATTTTTATTGTTCTAAACCGAAAGTGGTCTTTGCCGTGACCAGTGGAGCGTGTCTAATGTGGCACAGACTTTGAAGTCAATGTGATGTTTACTAGTACATACTATATTCTAGCCACAAGTAGCATTAAAATTGCTGACCAATTCACAGGCTCTGCGAAAAATCAAAAGAATATAATTTTTTAATAATGAAAAAATAATAATCAAACCGCAAAGGGTAAATAAAAATTCAAATAATAAAAATTTGCTCAACAAAAGAGCTGAAACGGTGACCCAAACTGATGACCCAGGAAATTATGAAACACAAAATAGGAAATTTCAATTTGTTCCGGCAAGAAGTGGAACATAAAAAAAAAACTAAAACCTTAGAATTTCAAGATAATACAAATGTGTTACGGAAGCTTTCATATTTCCTTGTAACGAGAGGAGTTTAGAAAAATATTTGATTTATATAGTAATTCCCTTATATTAGTGGTTAATTGGATGTGCTTGTAAGGACTTTCATTTGTTTAAGGTTAAGCACGGGCGCTATCAACAATATTGCTTCTTGTTAGTTAGTTTTGCAATATTTTTAATACAGAAAAAAAGGAAAAAATAACTTAATTTGAAATCGTTAAAATAGTTTATTAAACTTTTGCAGTTTTCTATTAAGTACAATATAGACAACACAATATTTTAGGGGAGTAGGGAATAATATATAGTTTATGCAAGTATGACTTACATTCACACTGACCGAACACTGCTTAATGGAGAGGCATAGCAATGGATTAGTGGCTACTTTCAATGACTTCTATTGTTGTTGTGGATCAGAGAAGGAAAAGAAGAAATATGCTCTTTATATTTTACACCATAAGTATCCTTAAGTGTACTTTCTGTAGTCTGTATAGCACTGTTTCTAAACTCTGTAGTGGTACGCTCCATTTAACCACATATACACAAGTATTGTGCGGACAGTTGAGCAGATCAATTGAATATTTATTCCTTTTCACACAACAAAAAATGCGTTATTTCCATACCTTTCCGATAAACAATTTTTTTCTTTTGTTCGTGTATTACAATAAATCCGTAGACTGCCATACTTCCAGAACTCCGTTGTTTTCAAGTTAACAGTGTCAATTTGTATGTAAGTTTTAACTTCCCTTCTTAATATTCAAGTTGCTTTTTGTGGAGCGTACGCTCTACATTAGGAAACACTGCTATGTAGAGAGTGACTGCTGTTACACCACAGTATTGTGTCAGTTTTATATAGTGAGCTGAGGTCTTTATACCTGTATTTGTGATACTGGAGATATTTGAAAAGCATTGATCCTAGAGAGAATATTCGTTTTCCAACAAATGTCGGACAGTGATACTGTGGTTCTTTATTGGAGGTTGATTTTTTGTCATGTCATTTTAGTTCAAGATGTGAATTATTTACATTAATTTGATAGCACCAGGAAGTTCAGAATATTAGTCGACCCTAATTGTTCTCTCTAACTGTTTTATATATTATTAAATGAAGTTTAAGAGCTGTTTAACAGTTGACTATTGCAACCATATTTTGCAGAAGGTTGCATTCAAAATGATTGCTTTTGAAAGGGGAACACCGGACTTAATTTGTTTTCAATACGTTTCTATAGTGCTTTACTCATTTTTTTTTATAAACAAACGATTTAAATGATAGTTGATTAGAAGTAATATTACTCTGTTAAAATAAGATTTCGACAGGTAGAAAATATTAAATTTACTAATCGTATTTTAATCCTAGCATAACTTAACTATTTTTTTGTATATTCATATAATGAAAATGACTACTCTTGATTTATATCCATAGACAAGTGATTTTGTTCGAAATGAGGTTAGGTTATTACGGTGCTCATAGATACATAATCGAAGGGATTAAGACCATTTGATTAGTCTCAAGATACTCTTTAATGAGAGATCTAGCAATTATCTAGGATCTTTTAGAAAATAAGTCCACAACATGTTTAATACATGTGAGGTTTTTTGTTTTTCTTATAGCTACAGCAATAGCTGTATACTTCTGGCTTGATAACCTAACTAGTCAATTATCGTTTTGTAAGTTAACGTTAAGATTGATCGATAAGACCACTAGCTCAATGACATAATTAAATTTTACATATAAGAGAGTTTAACTTTCAGCAAATGCTTGCATATCATTGATTCTTCACACCTTACGCGTATATCATATAAACAGTATTTTCCAGTAAGACATTTAACACTGATCTTCAATCTAGTTTCGTGTAATGTTAAGGTTTAATAATATTAATTCTGTTAATAGAGTATCATGGAAGTTAACTATACCATCCAGTGTTGCAGATAGGACATTAGTTGATATGATGTTATGACTTTAAAATTCGTAAAACTGTTGTATATAGGTTTATTTATAATTAATAAATTTTAGCTTTATGTAGGAGATTCAAATTAAAGTTGTTACTGTCACATAGGTTACATTAAAATGAAGCACTTATGCCTAATTGAGCTTAAATAATAGCCCGTTGTGAAACCATGGACTAGTATTGTTCATATGTAGATGTCCTTAAGTCGGCAAGAAACAGCTCTGTCAGGTCGATAAGAAAAGCTCAAAGTACTTTCCCATGGGATAGAATATGTGTGTAAAAATAAGGTTTTAATAGAAATCTCTATTTTAAACTTTTTTAAACAAAATATTATTAACTTTTAAAATGTATCAGCATACTTAAACGATAAGAAATTGAAATAGTTTAAATAAAAGCATAATTTATTAATTAATTACTTTTCGCATATATTATAAAATTTATATTATTTTGCGCTATATTTAGTAGATGCTATAAATGTTTAAAGAAATTGAATTGCTTAGTTCATGTCAATTAGGTTAGGATATCGAATAGAGATAAACTATTAATAATTAGCAGAGAATTGAAAAGGAATTACAAAAATAATCATCAAAGAAACAGCATGACAATATAAATAAAACATAAATTAACACACTTTATTGAATGAAAAAAATCCTCAATAAAAAACTAAATCAAGGATATTAGAAAAAACCGTTTTAACTTAGTGAAGCTCTAAAAATATTATCGCTATTATTGCCAACAAAGCAATGAGCACTCCAACTAAAATAGCGCACAAAAACAAAAAAAAAAACAAATCAGCACTTCATAATTGTCATCATCATCATTAGAGAACTGCCAATATGAGATAATATGAAGTCACGAGCTAAAGAAACTTACGACACAGCGCAGTTATTTTGCATAGCAATTTCCGTTGACTGACAGACCTACGTAGTACGTACCTTTTCACAAACACAAACACAAACACACACGTACATTCGTATTCATAGACTGAACGTACTCTAATATGCTGCCATTACCACCGACATGGCAAATGTAATTAAGTGTATGAGTGCTGCGTATGTGTATGCATTTATGTGCTAACATCAACGGAAACGGAAATAGGTGCTTAATACTTATGTGACAAAATAAAAATACTGTATGTAAATAGACAAAAAAAAAACACAAAAAACGTGAAGAGAAAAAAAGTAGACAAAGCATTACACATAAGAACGCAAATACTGCCACACACATAAGAACATAAAAACATAAAAACACTGAACATATCACAGCCGTTAAACAAACATACTGCAAATATTGCAACCCAATGTTATATAGTATGTTACAGACCATATCATATTTTTAACCACAGATATATTTGTATGTCTATTTTTATGTATTTAGTGACAGCGGCATTATGCGACGACGATTAGCGGCATTTGGTTAATGTTATCATTGTTAACGTACACGTAAGCGCAAACGTAACGATACGTAAAATAACATAAAACAACTTTAGCGGTTAAAGGTGTGTTAACGTGTGTCTTATGCGCAACCCCTCGCCCCCACCCTCCCGTACAAATATTTTGTTGCTGTGCAATGTTGCCTCGCATGCTGCCACATAATAACTTGAACAATTAGAGCGACAATAGCGACATAACCAACATAACCAACATGCCACAACAAAAGCAACATCAACAACAACAACAACAACAGAAGAGTAAACATAGCAAATAATTTTTACAGTAAATTCAAAACAAAAAAAAAAATAAAAAAATAAAAATAATAATAATATAAAAAATAAACACATAAGAACTACTGCGAAATAACGTAGCTACAATTACGCGTTACATAGGTTTAAACTCGCTGAAATCATTAAACTCGCTTGCAATCCGTGCGTGTTTGTTCGTACTCGTTATCGCAAGAGTAAGACCAAGTAAAAAAGGGAACATAGTACAATATTGCATGTTTTGAACTTTAAAACAAAAAATTGTTAGCAAATAAAATTTTGTTACCGCACGCTTCCCTGCAACATTTGTTGGTTTTGGTACTGGCAACGTTTGCAATCTGTACTGTCATCGTCATCGTCATCGTCATCTTCATCGTAATCATCATCATCATTAAACTTATTGCAGTGTGTGCGTTGTTGAACGAAAATCACGTCATGTTAGAAGTTGTTTTACACCAACACCAACGCTTTACAACAACGACAACGACAACAACAACAACAATAAAAACAACAACACCAACATCAACAACAACAACAAAAATTGCTGCTATTGTTGCTGCTACTGCTGCTGTTGCTGACGCTGCTGTTACTAATGTTGCTGCTGCTGTTGGTGCTGCCTTGAAACGACGTCACACATTCCTAACGTCGTCAAAATGGTTTTAAGCACTGAATGGTCTCAGGTGGAGGTAATCGATTTGGTAAATGATGGCAATGGTTTGGGTTTTATATTGGTTGGTGGTCGCAGCACTGGCGTTGTCATTAAGGCCTTAACACCGGGCGGCGTCTCCGAACGTGATGGGCGTTTACAGTGTGGCGATCATCTATTGCAAATTGGCGAAGTTAATTTGCGTGGCTTCAGTTCCGAACAAGTAGCAACGGTTCTTCGTCAGACTGGAGCTCATGTTCGATTGATTGTGGCAAGACCGGTGGAACCGACCGCCACCGATTATCAAACGTTGGCTAGTCATGCGCCAATTATTCCAACTAAGCTCCTCTCCGACCCGGAAGAACTGTCGCGTCATCTATTTCAAAATCCCAGTTTTGCAACAAGTGCTACTAGCGTTGGTTTCTTACCAACGCCGGACACTGAGCTAGCTGATTTGCCACTGCCACCGATACCGACAGAGCTGTCGTCGACTGCAGCGCGTATGTGCCCCAGAGACTTGGACATTGTACCGTTTTCGATTGTTTCACCACCGCCATCAGCTCTCCCATATCTTTCATCATCGAAAAGTGCCGGCACACCTGCAATGCATACAATGACATCATTATCCCTAACCATGGACCACATTGAGACTGTGATAGCTGGCAATATTGCTGGCAACCCTAATGCAGCAAATGAACTTGATCGTTGTTCATCAACATCTTCCAATTACATGGATTCACCAGAAACAGAAACGTATGAAGTAAAGTTATGTAAAAATGTTTATGGACTTGGCATTACTGTGGCGGGTTATGTATGCGAGGAAGAAGATCTCTCTGGCATATTTGTGAAGAGCATAATTGAAGGTAGTGCCGCCGAAATGAGTGGGCAGATACAAATTAATGATCGTATAGTTGCTGTTGATGGTAAAACATTAGCTGGTGTTACAAATCATCAAGCGGTTGAAATCCTTCGCAATACCGATATCGAAGTACATTTAACGTTAGAACGTTTCTTACGCGGCCGTAAGTTTGAACATCTACAAGTTGCCTTAACTGAATTGAAGGGCGATACTCAATCGCAAGTATCTCTACCTGCATCACCATCGATAGCTACACTGTCATGGCTACCACCAAAATCTGATGCCGATTCCATTGCCACTGATGGCGGTACGGCGATTTTGGATTATGGTGAACTGCCATCTCGGGATACGGTCGAGTCCAATATGTCGAGTATGTTGGATCGAAGTGATCACAGCAATGTTGGTAGTAATAAATTATTAAAAACACCAACAACACCTGTTGCTAATGGCAATGCTACGCATGTTAATGGTAACGGCTTGGACAGTGGTAATGACACTGATGAATATCACCACGAAGTACCGCATAAGCAACTTATAAGGCAATATAGCACAACAAAGATGGTAAAAATTGAAAACGTAACTACCACTGTATCCGTTACAATGCCAACATCTGGGGCAGCGATGAAGACGATGACGGCAATTACTCCGAAAACCCCAACCTTGAGTCCCAGTGTTGAATCACTTAAGGTGGCTTGGAAAAGTGAGTTTCCCGAAAGTGAAATTATTGTAGCCGAAATAAATAAACTTTCAGGTCTAGGAATCAGCCTTGAGGGCACCGTGGACGTAGAGTGTGGCATTGAGAAGCGTCCACATCACTATATACGTTCCATACTTGAAGACGGACCAGTGGGACGACAAGGTATACTTAAACCCGGTGATGAGCTATTACAAGTGAATGAATACAAGTTACAAGGACTGAAACACATCGAAGTTGTTAAGATACTCAAAGAACTGCCAACACATGTAAAACTGGTTTGTGCGCGCGGCCCAACAGCACCATCAGTTATAAATACTTCACAAAATCCAGAAGCATTCGAAACGCGTAGTCTACTACCTGGAGGCCATCAAAGTCTGCAAAACTTATTGACAAAAGCGCAATCGGAAAGTTCACTTTATACATCGAGCACTGCCACGTTGACCGATCAGCAACGATCTAAATCATTGGAAAATGTATCTGGGCTAGCGCTTTGGAGTTCTGATGTTACAACAATTGAAATTGAAAAAACTGAACAGGGTTTTGGTTTCTCCATATTGGACTATCAAGATCCATTAGATCCCGAGGGAAGTGTTATTGTGATACGCGGACTTATACGCGGTGGTTCTGCGGAAACAACTAATGAAATATATCCCGGCGATCGTTTGGTTAGTGTTGGCGAGCATAGTTTAAATGGGCTAGATTTGGATGAAGCCGTTGCAATACTTAAGGGCATGCCTTTAGGATTAACTAAATTAGGCATATGTCGACCACTTTCATCATCAGATAGCAATATAGCATCACCTGTAGGAGAAGGCGATTCGCCGAGCACATAGCTTTTAATGGATTTCTATTGTGAGTAATATATTTTTATATTTATATATATAGTATTATTTATTTTATTAAATTTTTATGTATTTATATTAATTATTCATACATTGCATATGGTATATTCATGTGCAAAAATAGTATTTCTATATATCAAATATCTTAAGGTACAATATTTCTAGTTTTTAAATAATAAATCATAAGCATTGACTTCGAGTAAGCAAAAAGGTCTGCAAAAGGGTATTAGTTTTAGTCCTTCGTATTAACAAGTCTCGGAAGATTGTTTTATGCACTTGTAAACAAGTCAACCACCTACTACTTAATCGATTAACTATTTCGTACTACATTTGGAAAAGCAAAGTCTAAAACGCACTGGGCTCTGCGATTAAGTCATTAAATTGGGTTTTGTTCATTTAGTACTGCATCGATAAATTCTTCGCTTTCTGGGAATTAAATCAAAATGTAGTTGGCTTTATCAGTTCTGATATTGTAACCACTTTCCTTAAACATTGCTCTTTGACCAGACTCAAACGTGTTGAACTCGAAAACATTGGACAATTTAGTCTTTATTTAAACAACCTGAACCTGCTAATTCGGATTAAGCAATCAGTTCAAGTACTTGTACTTTGTGAGATGATGTATGACTTTATAGTTTACGCAATAAAATTAATACCGACCCCCACTGCAAATGTGTTTATATAGGTAGAACTGTTTTTTGCTTACTTATATATTTTACCAATTTTCTCTTCCAATCAGCGTTGCTCTTTACAGCATCCGCACTGCATTCACAGCAAAAATATCTGCCATTTCGATATTTTCGGTTGGTTTTGGAAAAAAATAAAGTGAACTATATCGTCATACTTTCATCTTGAAATTTTTGTTATTTCTCGACTTTCATGGTTTTAAATCGGAAATATTTCTATATTGGTATTGTAGAGAAATTTTTAAATCTACCAGATTACACCATTGCGTTCATATCGAATTCTTATATTCAGTGTTGATAGTGTTTTTCATTCGATTCATTTCTTTGCAACTTAAAAATATATACAAATAATGGCCAAACAAAATTAAATCCCATAGGTGTCTTAAGTAAGTAGAAAATTCGTTAAAAATACTTAAAAGCACTTCTCTGACATATGTTTAGTTACGATCCAAGTAAGTGAGAATTTGACCCCTAATTTCTTCTTTGATTAGTTTTTGATTAATTTGAATTGATTGATTTAAATCAGGTTAGCAAAGACACTTCAATTTATATTGAAGAACCACAATGGCAAAGAACTGTCTTTTGTAAATGCACTACTGAAAAATTTTGGCTTAAAAGCATTTTAAAGTCTAAGCAGTTTCAGTCTAAGCAGTTTTTGTAGCGCTGTTTATTTAAGTCAGTTATATCTAGTACATGATCTCAAAAATTTCTTCAGAATCTATTTATTTATTTATATTGAAGCTATTTGATCAGTGTATTTGAGCACTTTTACTCTTCATTAACTCTAGGTATCTTCAAAACCCCTCTTTACGCCTTGACTGGATTATTGTTTATCACTTCCTCAGACTAAGCAATAATTAACCATTCTAAGATTCGATAACGTGGTACTGGTAAGTCTGCCAGTTTTCTAAGAGTAATTTATTTGTAAAAAATTTAAAAGAAGTAAAATAATCATTTAGGGCCGTATTATATAAAGATTCATGGTCACGTCAAATAGAAATCTGTTGTTGTTTTCATTTTATATTAAAAATATGAGAATAAAAAAAAGAGAGAAATTTTGATTAAAATTTGGTCACGGTTAAATTCTGTCCCTCGTCTCATTGATTAACACCGTTGTACTCAGTAATAATTGTCAGAATTTGGACCTATATAGTAAGTATGTGTATTTTCGTGTACCAAAATAATAGTAAAGGTAGTAAATTAAGAGTTGTTATATGATGCCTCGTATAACATGTCTTATGGTTGCCATTCCTCATATGACTGTCTGTATGACATGTACCGTAAACTAAAATATATTTGATTTTAAGTAAATTTTTTTTAACAAGATTTTATCTTTTTTATTTATTGCCTAGCTACACCGGAATTGTCATTTTTAGTCGTCTTTGGAAATATTTATTTGTGTAATTGTCTATATATAAGTTTTTAATTAAAAGGCTTAAGCATCGAACCCCTCATTCTAAACCACTATTATGTATGACAGTAATGAATAGTCCCAAATACTATTAATTATAGACATTTAACAACATCTGAAACGGCTGTATAGTCAGTCAATTAGTTTTACTGGATTTAAAAGTATTTTTTTTATATAAAATTTTCTCATTATTACCACCTTTTCCATTCCAAACAGGACTTTATGTTCTATGTACATTTTTTATACAAAATTAAGAAACAATTTTATAAAACAAAAAAATTGCAGACTTGAAAGATATTGTATGGATTTTATCAATTTTAATTCATTATATGACAAGTTGTTGTTATTCTAAAGAAATCACCACCGCGTATAGCTACTTATCAGGTAAATTATTGACAACCAAAAGCACATTATCCTTGAGAGTAACATATGCGCCTGAAAGTATACCTGCATACATACAAATGATTTTGTTTGATGAGTTGAAAAATATTGTTCAGTCTTAAGTCGTCTTTTGTACGTTTAAAAAGTACTTTTCTTTCAACTCACAGGATTAGTTTTTATCGACATAAAAACTGAAAGTATCTTAAATTGATATAAAAGCAACTGAAGAAACTTACGTGAGCGCAAAGATTTGGTTTGCTACTTTGCTATGCCGCCACTTCGCTACTGCGCTACTTTGCTACTTGCGATTCGAGATACTTCATTCGCTGGCTAAAATAATTCCTTTTGTTATTGGCAAAGTTCGACATGTCACTGACAAATGTTGCAAATCAATAAGTTTTGTTGGCTGGATCGGCACCTACCCATATCGTTAGGAATTGCATATCCTTGTGCTGTCAATAAACGTACTTAGCTTATGTAGCTCGTAGCTCGTAGCTGCGTATCTGTGCCTTCTATTGTAAATTCCAGTTACTATTTGTGTACATATTTTGTAAATTTTTTCTCCTCTTTCTTTCTATTTATCATTTCAAAGGGTTACACAATACTCTTGAATAGACGTACATACGTTGCCACATGCACAGTTTGCTTTTCACGTTTATTAAGTTTTTTAAGCCAATATGTGAATTTATATTGTTGCGATATGAAATAAAGGACATATGTCTGCCAAATGAATGAAGTGAAATTGCAAAATATTTTAAATTGTAGCAGCCATAGAATTCTAAATGAAATGTACATTTTCTTATGTTCACTTCACTTCACTTCACTTCAGTTCAGTACAGTTTAGTTCAGTTCAGTTCTGGATCCGATTTAGATTTGTAGAAAAGTTGATTTATTATTTTGTGCTTTTTGCGCCCTTCATTTCTTGTTTTTTTATTTTTATTATTTTTATTTTATTTTATATATAAATATATATATATATATTTTTGTTTTCGTTATCCTGCTTTGTATTTCTTGGAGTTCTTTCTCTACTCTTGTTGATTTCTCAAAGCGTGTAATATACGTATTCCTGTGTGTGTTCGGGTTCAAATATGTCAATTTAGATTAGTGGTTAAGTTGAAGGGATTCGATTACATGAATATGTGTTTTTCTGTTTCTTTTTTTTTTTTTTTGTGGGCCAATAGGCCATGAACAAGGATTTCACATTTATAGGTAATCCTCTTTTTCTGCTTAGTGTACATTTAAATGCTAATATGTTTGCCATTTATTTAATTTATTTATAATGCGTTTTTTTGATTCTAATGAATTTAAAGGATTACTCTGGTTTTTTATGTATGTGAATCAAAAGAAAAATATGATTTTGATTGGAAAAAGAGTTTATTAAAATTTCAATAAAGATTTTTTTAATATTAGAAGCAATGCAATGAAATACAATAAACAAATCTAACATTTTTAAGTAGTTTTTTGTTCAATTTTGTATATATTATTTTTTATTCAAAGTCTTATTCTTAAAATATTACACATTAAAACTGGAAAAATATATAGACAATAATATAAATAAGTTAATATTTAGCAGTAACACGTGTTTACCTTACGTTATGTGAATAAAGCATAACATACACGAGTGTAGAGTTTATACAAAGCACTTTAATGCTTTCATTCTGCACTAATAGTAAGATATGCTAAGACAGTTAAGAGACGAGAGTTAGAGTAAGCAGCAGGATTTATTCTAATTGTGTTAATAATGTTTATAATATAGAAGTTTGCTTCGGAACTTTTGTAGCCTAATAAAATAAGTATTTCTATTATTTTGAGAGTAAGAGTTTTGCAATCTCTCTCTCTCTCCAACATTATTGAATGTTGGTTTCCTTTATCGTAATTCTCGTACATGGATTTGGTACCTTTAAAATCCTCGTACCTGCTGCCAAAGCAGGGTGATTTATCATACTATGATTAACCCTTGGCGTAATATTATCATTGTTATATTATTTTATGTTTGATTATCAAAAGTCTTGAGAGTCGATGGGTGATGAGCCTAAGAACTTCAGATGAACACATTTATATAGCGAGCAGCTTATAAATCGAATATGGCCCATCTCTCATTTGGGATGATCCAGAGCTCCACATGGATTGGAGTTACCTCTTCTCGCTCATAGGTTGCTTACGTTGTCAAGGTTACACGATGGAGACGTGAGTGTAGGAATAGCCATATCGGCTTCGCGGCTGTAGCTAACCCACGTCATTGCATGAAATTTGCAATAATGGGTAGTAAATTCTACATATTACTTTATGAACTTAATTAACATACGTACCTTGAAGTAAGAAATTAAGCATAATTAAATGTACATTATATTTGAATAAATAATAATGATAATAATAGAAGTTATGAGTATCTTATCTCATGCATAAAACTATTATATAGATAGCAAAAATCTTCTGTTTAATTAAGTTATAAATTCAAGTTAATTGATCTCAACTTGATATTAGAAATTAATTAAAATAATAAAATCAATTTATGTCGAAAATTGTCTAAAC